ATAGTTGGATATTTGCGACGACTTGTCGTCGCCAAAAAAACGGATTACCTTGGCGCCAAAAATCCGCGCCATTAAAATTTGCGCGCCAATATTATTTGCGACGACATTGAAGTTATTAGCGACGACATGGTTATTTTATTTAATGGGAACTATTTGCGACGACATGTCATCGCAAATAGTGTATTATTTGCGACGACAAATGTCGTCGCAAAAAATGACGTCGCAAATGGCCTTAATTGTTGTAGTGTGGATTAAGAATAATATTACTGTGAGAACTTTAAAAGTACGTATAACTTAAAGCATTTTTAATTTGAAGTACTGCTAATGCACTATAAGGAAAAAAAAACAACAAAAATTGTATTACATAGCAGATTTATGAAACTAAATAAATTAAATAGTAAATTTTAAAACTATATGAGTCAATCATAAATAATTTGAGAGATATATAAAACTGAGTTTAAGGTGGTTAAGTGTTATGAGAAATGAGTAAAATTTAGGTGGAGAAAATATTATTAATCTTAAATCATAATTATGATCTTATTGAAGGATAAAATTGTAACAAAAAAATATTATGATTTAGTAGGGACATTCAAGAATTTATAATTGAAATACATATGTAAGGAAACTATATTAGAACGACCTGCATACTTGAGTCTTTGGTAGTACTGGAGATGGTTTTTCTGAGCTCCATAATCCTTGCAATGCTAATGAATGCTGATGTAAATGGAACGTTAAGTTCCATATCACTGCAAAAATCTACTAACTTATAGATTAACAGATACGTACGTTCAACGGTTTTAGATCAACACAAGTTATAAGATCGCCACAATATGTAGCAAGATTCATATATAGGAATTTCGTTACTGCAGGCATACTTGTTGTTAGGACTTAGGGTTCCATCTTAAAAGATTAACTTATTCGGTCACCACAGTACTCTTTTAAGAGAATAATATTTCCGCCATCACCATTGCTATCTACTTTGAGAGCCCATCAACTTTCGTCTAATCGTTCAATTTTCTCTAAGAGCTTATCTTGCACGTACACATGGCAATATTTATAATGTTTTTTGGGACTCCATCTTAAAAGAGTAACAGCTATATTAGGAGTAGCCCAAACTTCTTTCAAATCTCTTGTCAATTCCATGTCTAGCAAACGCGGGACTTTATTCGCACATTCCTAACACTTCTCTAATTAAAAGTTTTCTTCTTACTAATTTCGTTGAAAGGTTATATGTTTTTATCTTCCTACTACTGCATAGTTCTTATGAGATACATACATTACATGCATGCATATGCATACTTGCATACACAGATACATATACCAAATATACATACATACATATATACCCGATCTACCATTGATGTCATATACAGAGTACATTGATACATGTATATGTATCTATGTATATTTATTTATATACGTGTAGTGTAGGTTTTGATAAGAAGTTACTTTTTTTTTTTTTTAATGAAACGGGCATATTATTAATTAATTAATTAGCAAATCATTACGCACATCACAACTAATAAACGAAAGTAAAGAACTATGACAAATTACATGAACAAAGATTAAAAGAGCTAACAAGTGGGATACTGATGCAGCGCAAGATGAAGATCACCAGCAGACGACCGCTGATCAATTACCGGACGACCGCTAGGAGACGTGAAGCTGAAAATCGAAAGTTTCTAGATTCTTTTCACATTCAAGTTTTAATTTATTTTAGTTGTTTCTTGATATCTTCTAGTATACCTTTTAGTCTTATTTCTGAATGATTATGAATTTCAAATTTAGAATATTTAGAATTAGTTTAGTTACCTTTTTCTAGTTTCTAAAATTAGTTTTGAGATTGTTTCCTTCTAGTTTGTTTCCTTTATTTGTATTTTCAATTCCTTATTTAAAGGCTTCCTCAGTATTGTTATTTTGAGAGTTCAGTTTTTATGAATAAAATTTAGAGTTTGTTCTCGCTATTCAAATTTTCTCGGTATTCTGTCGAATCAAAGAGTGATGGAAGCCTATTTTTTTGGTATTCGTGAATAAATCAACAAGTTTATAAAAGTATTATTTTTCAGTATTTCAATCGAATCAACATATTTTTCCGATATTATACTCGAATTAACGAATATTAAGAATTTATCATCCTTTTCTTATCCGCTACGTCAGATACACCATTCTCGTCACCAAAAGTGTAGCGACAGGAACCATTACAAACTTGAGAAGACATCTTTAATATGTCTTAAAAAATACCAGCTTCAGGTGATCGGGGAAGGGATCCGCAATTGCACGCATCGCATTAATCGCATACCACTCATTTTCCAATTTTAGAAGCCATGTAAAAGGCGTGCTGGGCTCCTTCCCTAATGAATAAACATTCGGCAACATGAAGGGAGAACCAATCCTATAATGCGAATGGCGGCAGCTAAAAGAACTGCGCCGTGACAATCCCTTGCGACAACTCCAACACCCACAAAATCTAAGATGCTGCAGCCTCTACATTCACCTTATAAGAAATACTATGTGTGCGTTTAGAACTCGTTTTAAAATAATTTTATTTTTTGTATAAAAATAAAAATGAAAACGTTTTCAATCTCATACAGAAATCATTTTTGAAAATGCGTTTGGTAGTTTTATTAAGAGATTATTTTCAGTGTAAAAAAACTCATTAATGTCTTTCTTTCTCTTTCTCTACTCGAGGGAGGAGAAAACGAAAACGACTAAAAACCGTTTTTCACTTCTCTCTCATTTTACACTAAACCAAAATATCGTTTTCATTTCCGTTTTTTGTTTTTATTACGCCAAATGCTATTTTGGAAACGTTTTTATTTTTTCTTTTTTGAAAAAAACGTAAAAAAATGGATCAATTCTAAACGCAGCCTATATATTTATACACATGTATGAGAACCATATATATATATTAATTATACTTTACTTATGCATGCTGGGATAGTAATGCTTTATACCAAAGATTAAATTTAGTGTGAAATAATTATTAGTGCAAACGAAATTCGATGTAAAAAGGCTTTCGACAACAAAAAAAGGGAAAACAGATCGATGTTTTCGTTACAATATCGTTGGAAAGGAAGGAATAATCAGATTAGTAGTCATAGAGTCCAAACACTAGTTTGTAAACGGTCAAAGGGACCGGAAGACAGGAAATAAAATGTGATCACATGCTTTCTATTCCAGGGAATGGAAAAGATACTAGTCAAATTTCATATCTAAATTATGATTTCATAAAATATTCCTCCTACCCCAAAAGAAAATAAAAATAATAAAATAAAAATTATAACGAGGGTAAATGAAAATGAAATAACTCTCTCTCTCTCTCTCTCTCTCTCTCTCTCTCTCTCTCTCTCTCTCTCTCTCTCTCTCTCTCTCTCACTCACTATGTGTGATATTTAGCATGCAATCATTTTTCCATGCAGGAGTACAGCAGGCCCTTTATGGTTTGAGCTTAGTCTGTCGTACTAACTGCCTTATCTATTTTTCTCTCAGTGATGACCTTGTGCGGTGCTATCTGTTTAGCTTGGAATGGCATATATCTACTCAATTAACTGCCATTTATAATTCATTGCAAGATGGAAAAAGTATATATTGGTTGCATGATACACACACACACACACACACATATATATATATATATCTAGCTTGCTTCAAATATTGATCATTGATGTCTTGATCGACAATAATTAGTTTTGACTTTTGAGGATCAATTAACATGGTATGTAATTATGTCTGTAGCTGGTTAAGGAAGCTGATCATGCTTACTTGGGATTTGTCTTAATACATATATAAAACAGATAAAAAAAAAAGACATATATATATATATATATTAGTATTTGCATGTGATTATGTACTGAAAGCGGTATATATATATATATATATATATATAAGTGCTCATGATGTGGCTACTCTATATCAATAATATATAGACTAATAAATATTCAGAAGAATATTGCTGCTCTTTATCATAGCTTATATCTCACATGAATTGTAGGGCGCCCTATTTCAAGGCATTCCATGATCCTAATTATTATATGATCCTCTAAGTGTCCTTTATCTCTCACTTATTTAAAGGAATGTTTTACCTTAATTAATTATTATGGATTTTTTAGCACAAGTCACAAGGCAAGGGTAAAATTCCGTCCCAATGGTCCTAAACATTTTCATTCATATAAGTGATGAATCGAAGTCGGCAAAATTCTCTACTAATTTCCTGGAAACTGTGAAATAATGACTTTTTTTTCTTTTTCGTAATTTTTTCTTTTTTTTTTTTGGTTTAAATTGAGGCCATTCCGTTATATTAATTTGTACGGCATAGTGATAGCACAAATGGCGCATGCAATAGCTCCTTCGTATTTTCGTACGGACATGGACGTAAGACCAGTATATTTCGATCTCCTTTTGCACAACACAACAAAACCCTTATCATTTTGGCTCCGAATACCTCTGCCATATATCCCTTTCCAGTTTCCACGACTCGAAACCCTTAATTGATATGAAAAAAAAAAGAAAGGAAAAAAGTTGAAAAATATTTGAACAACCATAAGATATTGCACATGGCTAACAACATTGATAAACTCTAACTGAAACTGTGAAACATATATAATTTGATATATCAGCTTTTCTCTTCTTCTTCTTCTTCTTTTTTTATTTTTATTTTTTTTTATTCCTTTTCTCGAAAACAAATAGATATATGGACTAAAACACATAAAGACATTCAAAGAAAGCATAATTGATCAGAAATAGTTCAGAACTAGCTCTCTTAATTAGTATAGTACTAGTACTTTTTACACCCACGAAGTTCAATAATTAGATACATGATAGATATTAGATGATAATACATCCTATTATAAGAAATATAATTAGAAATGACCAAAAGTCTAAAACCAAATCCAGAGAGAGAAAACTGGCATAATAAAGAACTGATCATCATATTCATATATCTAGCTAAGGCCTTAAAATCCTATAATATTACTATGAAAAAGAAAAAGAGAAAGAAAAAGTCAAAGCCAAAGAGCACCGGCATCCTTGAGGAGAGGGACTAGAGTGCCGTTGATGTGGCAAGCCATGAGAGTCTCCACTCCGCCCAACAACTTCCCCCCAACAAACACCGCCGGCACAGCAGCCGCTGCCGCCGAATGCTGCCGATGCATCCCTCCTCCTCCTTCACCACCACTGCCGAACATGAGCTGGCTCAGCACGGCCTCGATGTCGCAGCCCGCGGCGTGCTCGTCGAGCTCGACGACTGCAGGGCCCACGCCGAGGCTGAAGAGGAGGCGCTTGGCGACGGTGCACATGCAGCACCGGCTCTTGCTGAATACCACCACCGCGTTGCAGGACCCCAGCCGCCCCACCATCTCGTACACCACCTCCATCCTCGCCGCCGGCAGGTCTCCGGCAGAGGCGCCAGCGCCTATTTCCATGCGGATCATCCCCCCAGCTTCCACTGATGATTTCTTCGCTACCTCCATGTATGTATGGTTCTTTTTTTCTCTAAAGAGATTATATGTATATAGTTCTTCTGTAGCGAAAAACCTAATGACCCTGTGAATGATGATATGAAACAGTGAAGGGAACAGTGGGTTTTATAGTACTGAACAGAAGAATATTATAATAATGAGAGGAAAAAGTTGGGAGAGAAAAGAAAGAAAACAAAAAAAACAAAAAAAAAGATGGCGAAGATGATCACGTCTAAAACTTTAAAACGTCTCTGAGATCTCCTAGGGTTTCTAAACAGATACTTCGAAATAAGTAAAGACACAAAACAAGTAGAAAAAAGAGATATATACGTGTACATATACATATAGTACCCGGCAAAATCTGAGGGGCTTTATCAGATTCAGCTATATAGCTATATTCGTCTTTTTTTTCCCTTTTCTTTGAGATTGTACGGACAGAAAGTCTCTCCTAATCACTCATGCATGCTTTCTAAGTCTTACAACAAATATATATATATATATATATACACACATATACTTAGGAACATATATAGCTAGGGAGACAGAGATATGCCTGAGGGTTTTTTAGCTTGAAACTTTCTCACCCTTTTTTTTTTTTTTTTTTTTTTTTCTTTTTCCTCTTGTTAATTTGGTCACGCGAATTTAATCAATCATAAGCCGTACACGTGTCATCAGTCAAAGCGAAAATCACTTTCTTTTTCCTTTTCCTTTAGTGTTTATTTTTTTCCATTTTGGCAAATTTTAAGCCAGACGATTCGATATAGTACCACCAAAAATCCTAACAGAAAAAAATCCTCTTAGTCACGCAATAAGAACACCATAACCTATCCTCTAAAAAAATAAAATATAATAAAAACAAAGAAAAGAAAATATATACGTGTTGTATATGTTGCATTTGGACCTTTCTAGTAAGTTGGCCATATACGTATAAATCATTGCAAAACATGTACATATATATATTTACTTAATACTCTGTTTACATATTTGCTATTAATTTATTTAACCCTTCTAAAAAATGGTATTTATTTAAAAAGGGGCACTTTTTTTTCATGGACTATAGATAGTAATACTGGTGTAAGAGTAGGAAGGTTTCTGGCTGATATTTTAAACCCAAACAGGAAACTGCAAAACCTGTTTCTTCTTTTGCAGAAGTTTGTAGAGAGAGAGAGAGAGAGAGAGAGAGAGAGAGAGAGAGAGAGAGAGTAGTATTAGTGGTAGTAATAGTGTGTTGTTTGCGGGATAGGGAAACCGACAAGCCGACAAAGAACCACTGAGACGCCGTCGTATTACCGTCAGTCTTTCTTTCTTTCTCTCTCTATTTTTCTCTCTTATTTTGCTCTTGTTGGCGATCCCTTTGTCGTTATTGGGGACAGTGACGCCGTCAGATTATGACCATCTACAGTAACATTATCGTTTTTGTACCGTAGGATTAGGCCCACCCCGCAGCCACCGCCAAGGCCCATTTTTATTGTCCCCTTTTTGGGACTTCAGTTGACCCTTCTCCTCTCTTAGGTAGGCCTTGTAGCTTTCCACTTTCAAGGCTAGTTTTTGTTCTATTGGGGGAATTATCTTATTCAATAAACATTTGATTGAGGAAAAAAAAAAGAAAAGAAAAGAAAAACGATTGCATTTCCAAGATTACAAAAAGAAAAACACCAATGAGAGAGAACATTGCAGTCCTTGTAGTTTAAGACAATGTAAGAACAAAATTTGCTGAAAGCATTAAAGGGTACTATTGATGTTTAAGTAGAGATTGAGACAGCGGAGTTAACGAAAATTGTTGGAACTAATTATCTCAATTTTGGGAAATCAGTTGGGAGAAATTTGCTAGAGTGATTATCTAACATAATAAAATTGGCAAAATAATCTTTTCAATTTTTATCCGGTGTTCTTTGTAAAAATTAATCGTTCTTAGTCATTTCATATTCATTTTGCAAATAAATTTTAAGAAAAATTATTTTACAAATAAAAAACATTTCCAATTAAGTCATTTTTACGAAGGGCTCGTTATTTGATAAAACTACGTAGATATATTGGAAGTAATCGGGACAGTGATCGATTGCCACCCCTCCACCAATCTATCTTACAAGAGTCACTACAAGAATTTGAATTTTTTGTTACCAAAAATTCGGTAACGAAAAGTCTTGTTTTTGGTAGCAAAATGTTTTTGTTACCAAAAAAGTTTGATAGCAAAAAGTGGGTAGCAGAAAGTATTAGTTACTAAATTTTTGGTAGCAAATAGTTTTTACTACCAAAAAAAGTTTTGGTAACAAAATGTATTTGGTAGCAAAATGTATGATATTCGGGGATCAAAAATTTCGGTAGCAAAAGGTTTTTGGTAGCAAAAAGTGTGAGCTTTCTGCTACCAAAAATTTTGGTAGCAAAATATATTTTGGTAGCAAAAAGTGTGACCTTTCTGCTACCAAATATATTTGGTAGCAAAAAGTGTGAGCTTTCTGCCACCAAAAATTTTGGTAGCAAAATATATTTTGGTAGCAAAAAGTGTGACCTTTCTGCTACCAAATATATTTGGTAGCAAAAAGTGTGAGGTTTTTGCTACTAAAATTTCAGTAGCAAAAGGTATTTGGTAGCAAAAAGTGCGAGCTTTCTGCTACCAAAATTTTGGTAACCAAATATATTTGGTAGCAAAAGGTATGAACTTTCTGCTACCAAAATTTTGGTAGCAAAATATATTTGGTAGTAAAAAGTGTGAGCTTTCTGCTACCAAAATTTTGGTAACAAAATATATTTGGTAGCAAAAAGAATCAAGTACCAAATATTTAGTAGCAAATAGACAGATTTATGTACCTCTATTTTTTGAAAAAATATATAAATAAAATATCAAATATTAATTTAAAAATCTCTAAATATTTCAATACATATTAGAATCCAAACAAAATACTAAAATAGTCATACTTAAACAAACCCAAACATTTATGTAAATATTGTACTAATAAAATCTTAGTATTACAAAAATGAAACACTCTAACAAATTGAGGCCGGTGGCGGCGGTGGCGAAGGATCTTCTATTCTTGGGACGGAAGGTTGAGGATGATCGGACGGCGGATTTATTTGTTGAAGTAGCTTTTGAATAAGCTCTTGCTGTTGCTGCATTAGGATTTCCATATCCGACATATGACGTTTATTTTCCTGAACTTCATTTTCAAGTTTCTCATATCCTAAACCTCTGTGATTCGCTCCAATGAGTGTTCTTGAAGACCTCAAAATACCTTCTTGAAGCATTTGAGTCAGAACTTGAATGTGTGTTATACATAGAAATCATTATTTGTTAGTTAGTTAAAAAGAAAAAAGAAATTATGGTTTCAAGTGGTAGTATACTTAAGTGAGTGCAAGTTAATTACATGGACTTCCTCCAAATGTTAAACTATAGATCTTGAGCCACCCAAATAACCTGCTTGCTTTTTGGAATGATTTTCCGCAGCAACTTGTGCTTTTTTCTATATAAATGAAAAAGGAAACATTTAAATACATTAAAATATAATAGAAATTTTGACATCATCTCCCCTATAATTTCAATTAACCTAGAAAATCTAAAACCACATATATTGGTTCGATTTGCATATCCAAAACCACATTCTCAAACAAACATCTCATAATACAGTTAAGTTGTTCATTTTACCTACCATTGATCATCGCCAAAGCAATTGGTGCACATCCACTCCCAATCATCTAGTTTAATGTATTGATTCGTAAATGTTGCAATGGATCTTTTCCTTCCTCAATAATGGCCTGATATTTTTAGTGGCACCGATATCGATAACCTTTAAAGCGCTCATAGAAATATTGATGTACAATGTTTTTCAATTGTGGATGCGCCTCAAAATCTAAATCAAATAGATCCTGAAGAAAAAAAAGTTGCTAAATTTGTTCTTATATAAGTGCAATTGTTATAAAGAATAAGTTACAATAGAAAATTTTACCTTCAATAGTCTTATGCATTCATTCTGTTCGTTTTCAGGAATCTTACCCCAACCACTATTCTTTAATAGAGCATGATGGTGAACTATAGAGCCGATTTTGCTCGCAAATCGGCCCGCATGCTCCCTGTAAACTCGGAGCTCAGATTCTCTAAATTGTACTTCAAGCTTTCCTTTCTTGGACACTAACTTGTTAATTCCTTAACATGTAGTTGGTCCTCGAACATTTGTTGACTGTGCTGTTTACAAAGGAGGTTAAATGTAGAATAGTGTAAAAAAAAAAAACTCAATTAAAAATAATTATTATGATCTTACGTGTATTTTCAATACGTAGAATCTTCGGAGGTTAATCCTCATGAAATTGTTGAAAATCTTGCGATGGCTCATTATCTGCTCGTGAAGATGTGGATGAGCCTAATGTGCCTAAAGATGCCACTGAAGGAGTCTGGGGAGATGCGTCAACATCCGGCAGAGATAGAGCGGATTTGGATTTTGAACCAGAACTAAATGATAGCTTTCTCTTACGAGGAGACATAACTGATATCCTGACACAATAAAAATAAAAATAGAAGTTAGTGATTGGAGGTATGGTATATTCAAACTTGTCACAGTTTTACAACTACTTCAAACAATCACAAATGCACATTTTGAAGTTAAACTGAAATAATTTGACCTAATCAATCACTATAATCAGTTACGGAATCAGTTTTCTTGGTGTCACCATCAATTTCATCATTGGCTTCTCCATTGAATTCCGTTTCAATTTCTTCTTCTGTTTCGTCATCGATTTTGTCATTGGGATCGATCCAGATATCAATGGTGAAACTATCAATTTCGAGTGGCCCAATATCCGTACGATTTAAGGGAGCTTCGTTAACATTTGTCGTGTCAAATGAAATGTCAACTGTTGGTCTCCGGATCGAATCCGGATGCGGAAGCGCGGTGGTGCGGGAAAGAGGCGGATCGTGTATAACAAAAATTTTCATAAAACTTTTGAGATACTCTATAGATTATATTAATTTATGCACGAATAAATTAATCTCATTAACTTATATATATCAATAACTCAAACAA